TTTGGCCCCACCGAATCCCGGAGGGCAGCGCTTTGAGCCCGCGTGGCAGCGAGCGCTTCCGATGCCACTCGGCCTTCTCTAACCGAAACGGCGAGGCTGCTCGTGCTCGTGATCCAGCCGGCGCTGGATGTCGTGTCCAGACGTCTGTGTGTCTGTCCTGCCGGCGCAGATACGTGTGCCGGAGGGCGCCTGTGCGACCTGCCCGCCGCCTCCCTGCAGCTGGGCAGTAGTGCAGCTCGGGCTGGGCAGGACTGGGAGGCAGGGCCCTGTTTTGTCCTTATCTCCTCTCTTTGCTGCCTTTCATCCCATTTCTGGCAGCGCTGAGGAAGAATCACAGAATCACAGAACGGTTTGGGTTGGAAGGGACCTCAGAGATCATCTAGTTCCAACCCCCCTGCCATGGGCAGGGACACCCTCCACTACACCAGGTTGCTCAAAGCCCCATCCAGCCTGGCCTTGGACACTTTCAGGGATGGGAAAAGAAGAGTTGCATCTTTTCATTGTCCCTGTAGTCTGGGGGAGGAAAGCCTTCACAGGCTGAGGAAGGGGACCTCATTACAGATAGAAACACTGCTGACTAATTGGTTTAAAGCATGTTTAGCTGTTTTCTCTGTTACTGTCCTCTCCAGAGAAGCCCAAACCTGACCCTTCTTCCCTGCGAGGAGCCATAAGCTGCCTTTGATCAAAGGTGTCTTACGTGGCATGGAGGCCGGCTTTGTTGTGCACAACTGTCACGTCCTTGTTTCCCGGTGTTAAGTTCTCATGCTGTATCCCTGTTGCTTCCAGGATTTAATCTCCCATATGCCAATTGCTGCTTCAAATACAGAGGCACGTGGGGCTTCTGCTGGGCTGGTGTTTGCTGGTTGTTTTTTTTTTTAAAAAAAAATGCAACTCATCCAGACTTTGTGCAGTTGGTTTCTGCTGAACAGACCTATAAATCCATGGGAGTTGCAAAGGGGAGATCCAGTTCTTCTGTAAGGGTCCTCTTTCTGAGCTTAATGTTCTCTGGAAGTACCTGTGCGGGCTTGGAGCAGAGTTCAGAGTGGCCTGGCAGGGCGAGCGGCACTCTCGCACTTAGCAGCAGCCGCTGGGTGATCCAGGCTGAGGTTTCTGGAAACCACTTAGCGTAGAGACAGGCTGCTCACAGGGCTTGTCGCTTTTTTTCCAGGAAGTGTAGGCAACATCACCCAGGTAGGTCCCTCAAAGACATTAACTTTGAAGATGAATTGCTGAACCTGTAAGTTGTTCTGTAGCTCCTGACTGGAATCATCCCATTAGAAGCTTAATGTGTCCTAAATATTAGCAGCAGTGATAGGTGCTAAAGAAATTAATTCATGGAGCCGGAAGGGGCATTGCAATTTGCTGATCTAGCACTGGGGAAGAGTGGAGGGCTTAATTAGCAAAAGTGCCTTTTAAATGGAGATAAATTTGATGGGAAGTGAGTCGCTTCATTAAAAAAATAAATCCTCAGACCCTGGGATTGAGCCATGTTGTGGAGAAAAATGAATTTGTGTTGGCTCCTGGTCCCAGCCCTGGCTTCCCCGAGCTCTGTGGGGAGCTGGCTGCATCCGAGTAGCCAAATCCCTGTGCCCCTCAGCAGAGCACGATGGCTCTGTGCTCGCCTGTGCTGTAGTTATGAAGAATTTTAGCCAAGCACTCATCTGGTCCTGCTCTTCCACCGAGGCAGTCAGCCATGCCCAGCAGTAGAGACCAAGACCCCTTGGGAACCTGGCTGTGGGCCCCTTTGCTTGCCTCTGTGCTGCTCATACTTGTTTTACCCCTTATCCCACTCCGGTTTAATCTTGCTCCGACGCTTTTCTCTCTGTTTATTTGGGCCTCTAACATGAGGCTTGAGTCACTTGTGTTCACCGTAGCGTATTTGGATAGATGGAGGCCTTGCACTCGATGTCTGTGCAGCATGCTGGGCCGTAAACTCTTGCTTGGAGTCCTGGCACTCTGGGGTGGTGATCAAAGCCTTGGGGAACAGCGATGTTCAGGAGAATAGGAGCCAAGTGGATGTCGATGGGTCCACCTGGGATCTTTTTCCCCCTCTCAGTGGAGCTGTGGGTGCCCCTTGTTTCCCTCTCAAGTAACGTCTGCGCTGTCTGCCCCCCTTCTCTTCCAGGTGCGCAACGGCCACATCAAGCGAATCACCGACAATGACATTCAGTCGCTGGTGCTGGAGATCGAAGGAACTAATGTCAGGTAGGAGAAGGCATCGTAGTGTGCCCTGAGAGCTTGTCCCTGGAGCAGAGGGAAAGACGCCGGTGGCCAGCAGGTGCTTCAGGCTCTACTGCAGTCTCTTTGTCTATAAATTGAAGAATGTGATCCGGGATCAGATCACTGATCCCCCTCTGTGGCACTGTAGCCTTTCCCTGGATGTGCTTGTAGAGCCCTCTGTCATCCTCAGTGGGGCAAAGGGATAAAACATAAAAATGAAATCCCATTATTTTTCCATCACTTGTGGGGGGAAAAAGCTGTGTTTGATACCCAGTCCCCAGTCAGTGCTGCCAATTACTGAGAAAGCAGCACTCTGCCTTCTGCATCTTTTATTGCCTTGGGCCTGCTCTGCTTCTCTCCCCACGTGACAGCTGCTCTCCTGACAGCAGGGAGATCAAAGGGAGATTTATGAGGGGAGTTGCTCATGGTGCTTCACTTAGCAACCCCGTCTCCATCGACTGGGAAGAGAGACGCCAGCTCCATGAGCGGGTTTGGAGTCTCCAAGGCTCCTCCAGGGGCGATTCAGAGCAGGGCGCTCCTTATAAGGGCAGCAGAGGCTCCTCTCCTGCAGACAGACTGAGCCAACGCTTCTCTTCCTCCCAAGATGTGTTGACACAGAACTTGCCAGGCCTGACGTGTACTTCTGGGGCTCATGACCTCTGTTTTCCCAGCCATATAGAGCACAAAGGGCCTCTGCTGTGCTCTGGAGGGCTCTACCTGTTCAGCCGAGGGGTAGGAGGAGGTTGTGTTGAGAAACAGTGCTGATATGGCCTTGAAATTGGGGAGGTGAAGCTGTCCTGGGAGGTGTTCCATGTCCTGGGTGAGAAAAGTGTGATTGGAAATGCATTCTTTGGGCCTTTTATCTTGTTCCCTGCAGCTACCTCTGAAACCGTCCTGTTACAGGGAGCCCTGGTTGTTGCTGAGATCTTACGATCACCGTATCTTTTTCTGCCTGTCCTCCAAGACTGCGTTAGGTCAAGGGAGAGACTTGGGACTCAGGCTGTGTGCTTTGTGCCACATGAGGTCCTAAAGTGTTTTTCTGTCCCTCTCAGCACCACGTACATCACATGCCCTGCTGACCCAAAGAAGACCCTGGGCATCAAACTACCTTTCCTAGTGATGATCATCAAGAACCTGAAGAAATACTTCACTTTCGAAGTGCAGGTGAGGAGTGTGTGGTGGGGAGGCCCCTCCAGGGACCAGTGAAGAAGGTGCCAAGGAGCCCGCAGTCTTATGTTGGAACTTGTCCCAGGCAGTATGTGATCCCCAAAACAATTTTGCTTTCTTGGGCATACGATGTGTCAGGTCGTCTGCTGGGAGGGCATCGGTCAGCTCACAAGCGCATCATTGCTGTTTCTGAAAATGGGTCTGTTTCCTGTGTCAAACATACTCCTGCTGTGGAATGGAGGGGTGGGAGTAGGAGAGCCATCTCCAAGATGGGTAGAGCCTGAGTCCAGAGCAGTGGTTGTCCTGGGGAGCCAGAGGCCCCCGACGCCTGGGTCAGCAGCCTTCCTGCCTTGCCCCAGGTGCTGGATGATAAGAACGTGCGCCGGCGTTTCCGGGCAAGTAACTACCAGAGCATGACTCGGGTGAAGCCCTTCATCTGCACCATGCCCATGCGACTGGACGAGGGCTGGAACCAAATCCAGTTCAACCTGTCGGACTTCACGCGCCGGGCTTACGGGACCAATTACATCGAGACCCTGAGAGTTCAGGTGAGAAGCGGCCATGTCTGGTGGTTGATGGTCTTCCTGCTGGCTGGGACAGCTTTGCTGGAGGCTGGGAATCCAGGTTTAGCCCTGACTAGTTCCTTTGCCAGTGCTGCTCTTTGCAGAGCGCTGCGGGAGGGGAGCAAAGGCCCAGCTGAGGCAGCAGAGGTCTTGGTGCTGTCTCACTTCACTGGGCTAGACTGGGATGCAGGACCCCATTTCCGTCTTGTTTCTCCTGCTGGCTGTCGGTTAGGGTAAGAGTTGCAGTCCCCCTGAAGTTCCCTGGGGCGTGCCAGACGTCCCGCTGGGTGGAGGTCTGCTGGGAATCACCCGTTTGCTGCCTCGCTGTCCAGACACACCAGACAGCGACTGGCTGAGTGGGAGCCTGGCTGGTAAAGACCCGGCGTGTTACGACCCGTACATGTCCCCAGTCAGGTTTCCTGGTGTGAGTGGAGTGACCCCACCTTCACCGAGCCCCTTGGGTCAGAGCGAACG